CTCTCTCTCTCTGCCACAATATTCTGCCCAAAGAATCTAAAATAAACTATTTTCATACACTGTCTGTGATTTTCTGTTTTGAATGTCTGAGCTTGAGGAAGATTTCTAAAATGAGAAGCAGAAAAAACAAAGTGATATTAAAATGTTCTAACTACAGCCAAAGTGATGCATAAAAGTCCAATTGGAAGGATTTAGGGTTATTTTAGCCAAAAGACATGGGTGTGGGGATGTGGTTTTAGCAATTAAGTGAACCAAGACTTGGGTGTAGCTGAAAGTCTTTTTTTAGGCAGGAATAAAATAAGAAAACACTGTTAGCTGCTGCAAAACCTGAAGGGTAAAGTAGAAAAACATCTGAGATTGCTCAAGAGATGACATTTAGACCTGCATGTTGGTCATAAAGTAAAAACCCATCTTAAAAGTAGTAGCTTTTGTTTCACTGTTTCACAGTCAGAGTGGAGAGTTCCTCACTCATGTTGAAGGATAGACTTCACCTGAATAACTTAATTGTCTTTTCTACATTTTTTTAATGTTAGACTCTGGACCATAGCTCTAAAAGAAAGAGAAAGCTAATGGAATACTTTCAATTCAGTGCATAAATACTTTAATGCCAAAGGGAAATAAGATTTTGTCACACAGAAGTTTGTGTAGTCAGTCACCCATCACAGGTCAGGCGAGCTATCCAGGGTGTACCCCACCTCTTAGTCATTGCATTGATATCCTCTCCATGGGGCTGACTGTGCTAGCTCAGTCTGTAACCTCAAAACGACCTTGCAGGGCTTCTTCAGCTTCCTGGGACCATCTTCTTACAGTTCTTTTTAAGCAGGTAATCTCTTATAAAGTGGCTTAAACTCTCAGCAAGGTTGTGATCTGATTTACCTAGAGGAGGTATTAGGGTTAGATGTTAGTGGCCTTCTCTCTATCTTAGCTCTAGGGTTAGATGTTAGTGACCTTCTCTCTACCTTAGCTCTAGGGTTAGATGTTAGTGACCTTCTCTCTACCTTAGCCCTAGAGATAGATGTTAGTGACCTTCTCTCTACC